GAGGCTAAGAGTAGCCCACCAAAAACCAGTAATCATGTTCTTTAATATGTTTTCTTTGGCTATGTGCTACAGGGCTTTGGGACCTAGAGATGTCAGAATGGTGGTTCTTGACATCAGTCTGCCCACTGGCTTCACCCCAGAAAACTCAGACCTGGAAATGGTAGTAAAACTTTAATGCTTTCATGAAAAGAAAAACACCTTGATGCAGTTTATTTTGTATTTATCTTATTATGACAGGATGTTACAAAGGGATACCCAACTCCTGAGGCCAGGGTTATTAACATTTCTAAAATATATACACTGTATTTTTTTGTTTAGCTCTCTAGCTCGGTGGATCATTACATCAATAACTTCCAGATCGTAGATAACCTGAGTGACAGAGGATCCCTGATCATTCACTTGTTCAAGGTAAAACCTGATAGTTCAAATTCACATTTGCCAGTTCATTAAAAACCTTAGAGCTTCACCTGTTCTTGTGCATTTTTATTAGAACTGATTGCATTTACTTTCCTCACCATATTTAATATTTTGAGAGTATATTAAATAGCATGTTTGATTGCACAAAGCAATATTATCTTCTCTGCCAAACTGAATCTCTCCCCTTTTTCTTCCTTTCAGGTTTCTCACAAAGAGCCTGAAATTGTTATCTTCAGGCTTCAGCAGACCTTTAAAGTTGGTCTCCTGCAGCCATCTTCTGTAACTGTTTATGAATATTACAACCCAGGTAAGTAAATATGAAGAAGTGTTTCACAAGCGTTTAGGGAAGTACTTGTGTTAATCTGCATATCAACATTGCCTGCTGAAAGTATTCAGAACTGTTGCCCAATACTGATCTTTATTGATATTTATTTTGCTCATAATTTTTTTTATCTTATAGTCTATTTTTTTTTTTTTTTTTGGTAGTTTTCGGTTGTAATTTAACAAAGATATTTGCAAATTAAAGAAGGATTTAATGCTTCTGCATGGTAGTTTACCTCATTTCTTTGTATGAAGTTTGATCCATTGGAATGATGGTGTTTATCTAAAATAAAATAGTTTCTTCTTTTTATACTGCAAGCTCAATTTTACATAACTATCTCTTTTAAATATTTTTAAAAATCCCTCAACTTTCAGATCACAGATGTAGCCGCACCTACTCTCCCAAGGAAGACACGGAGGAACTCTCTCGGATCTGCAGCAACGACGTCTGCCGCTGCACGCAGGGTAACGGGTGATTTTACCTCATGCATAAAATCATTACGTTCTTTTGCTGCTGAGCATAAATCTACCATTAAACTGTGTTGAATTGCAGGCGACTGCTGTGTCTCAAAATCTGAAGGTGAACATTTCCTGAACCACGAAAGAGAGATTTTCGCCTGTGCAAGCTTACACCATGGTATGATTCAGGGTTTTAAACTGATGCAGATGATGCAGGCATGATGCATACAATTTAGTTCAGAAAAAGGTTATTTAGGTAGACTGAACCATTTTAATGATTAATATATTATGTGCTTCAGTTTGGCAGGTGCTGGTCCTCAGTTTGAATCAGAGCTACTATGATAAATATGAGATGGAGATTACACAGGTTATTAAACTTGGTGAGTGAATATTGTTGTATTGGTTGGCTGTCTAAACATTCACAAAAGTCTCACATTTGTACATTGTGAACTATCAACTGAATTACATGGGCTACTTAAATAATTTATGTTATTTTTCTATATTTTGTTTTTTTGTAAAATATTTTGTGTTAACATTTATTTCAATTTACTATTGTTTGCAAACTCCTATTTTTTTCTCCGTTACATGCTCTTAATCCATGGCAAAGAATAATAGACACCAATTCTAGGCATTGAATTTAACCAAAAATCCTAATGATAATAATAGTTTAAAACAGTTTAAAAACATGGAAATGATGAATATCATACTGGTTTCTACAAACTCTAGTTTATTTACATTTTTGATTTACAATTAGGATTTTTGAGATGCGAAAAGCAAAAAGAGACCATAGTAAATATCCAAAATATTTTCCCATCTTTAATGTAAAATACAAATGAACCATTGACACCCCATAGCCAAAAAAGGCAACTTGGAGATATTTATGCTATAGTGGCTGTAGAATGGCAAAGAAATCTGCCATGTCTAAAAGATCTGGTTGTTTCACCCATGAGTACTGGAACTTGATTTTCTGACATCTGGTTATAGACTAATGTACACCATAATGAGTTGTCAACATTTTAAAAGAATAAAAAAACAAAAACTGATTAAATTTTTTTAAGGTTTTAATCAGAATACATTTTCTGATTCTCAATGAATTTCTGATTTGGTATTATAAATATGAACATATACATGTTCTGAACAACCATCAGTAAGTGTTGGTGTTTACAACTTTGGGTTTGCCAAATACAGTGAAAACGTTACAGAGGCAAAATTATACCAAAAGGGCAGTGCAACAATAAAACCAATGCCTTACAGACAGCTTTAAATTATGCATTGATATTGCACATTTGAATAAAAAAATAATATGAACACTTTTACATGGCTGTGAAAAACTGTATAAATTTGGTGAAAATGACAACAAATGACACTGTACATGCTGGAAACAAAACCTTATATGAAAACTCTTTAGAGTCAAAATGTTTCTTAAAAGATGGGTCCATATGTTTGCATGATGATAAACCAGTTGGTTCCCTTTTAAGTCAGACAGGAGTCAGATGGTTCCTTGGTTTACTCAGACCTCTAACAGCCATTAACATCAGTCTGAGAAAAGTTTTTCCCCTCTCCTAATATTCAGCTGTGAATTGATTAATGACCTTCTTTATATGCAGCTAATTTCAAATCAGCCTTTTTAGGGTTTCTTGAAGCTTCTTTCAGGCTCTTCTGATCTGCTTTAAACGGAAACTTGCTTTGCTTAATTAGACCGTTGCATGTTGGGAGCTGCCCTAAATATCCTTCACTTGTACAGTAATTTCTGTATGGTGTTACAGTAAACATTTTTAGGGACCACTTATTAAATCTCATGAGCTGTTTTAATCNAGTAAACATTTTTAGGGACCACTTATTAAATCTCATGAGCTGTTTTAATCGTCCTTTTTAGGTCCCCAAACAGTTCTTGCCTGTCACCAGGGTCACTTTCACTTCTACACTCAACTGCAAGACAAACTAAATGGCTGTGGTTTAAAAATTGTGTATTTGTATCTAAAAGTACCGGTAGTTATGAAGGGTTTGTGTGTCCAATCTTGTTTACTCAGAAGAAATTATGTCTTTTTAAACTACATCTAACAAAAATGCCCTATGTATTTCAATCTTTATTTTCCTTAAATCACAGGGTTATTTTTCTTTCTGTTGAATAACATGGGATTTTTTTTAAATTGAAATTGTAAAATCTTTAATTTCTCTTTTTTTTATTGAAGATTTCAGGGTCACATAAGTCTGTCCTTTTTAATTGGTGTGTATATTGATCAGAGACGCTGTTATTAAACTGTTAATGTTTTTTATTTATATACCTGCAATTCAGGTGTAGAATCTGGGGTTGAAGTTGGTCAGAAGAGGATATTTATGTCTCATGGTGGCTGCAGAGAAAGACTCAACCTGAAACAAGGCTCCCAGTATCTCATTATGGGTCCTAAAGAGGACCAGTGGACCACTGACCCTGATAACAACAGGTGAGCAAGTATGATGTTGTTAATACTAATAACTCTGGATTCTAACTCTATATTCATTCCTACTAGCCCTTCAGAAAAAGTTGTGTGTTCAATTCTTATGTTTTTTCCCCCTTTTTTTCTACAAAACTGGTTCAAGTGCTAAATTAAGTAGAGCAGGCCTCCTGGTCAGTGTTGTGACTGTATTTTAATAAGCAAGCATGTAGCCAATTCAATTCAGTTCAGTTTAGTCATATAGCACCAATTCACAGCACCTTTCATCTTAAGGCACTCTACAGAGACAATTCAACCAGATCACACAGTCACATTAGTTCAGAGTTTTATATCTAAGGAAAACCAGTTGATTGCATTGACTCTGATTCGAAGGCAATCCCTCACACCAAGCATGCTTGTAGTGACAGTG